CATCCATCCGTCCATCCATCCATCCGTCCATCAATCCAACCTCTCAACCATTTTGTCCATCAGGGTCACGGGGGCCTGGTGCTACATTTCCAGCAGTCTTTGGATAAATGGCGGGGTACATCCTGGGCAAAACACCAGCCAATGACAGAACAACACAAAGACAATCAGCAGAAACAACCATAGGCATCCACTCTCATCTAAGGGCAATTGTGACACTAACAAAATCTAACAATTATGTTTTTTTAGGGAGAGAGGAAGCAATAGTACAATGAAGGAATCCCAGACATGAAAGAAAGAAATGAAAGACAACAGGCTTGATTGACTGTGTGTGATAGCTGACTAAGCTACAAAATGTTTTTGTAACAATGGGAATAAAATAACAGCAAGCTCAAAGTTACAACTCAATGTTTAAAAATGTGTCTTTGAAAATTATGTAAATCCTTATTAAGGGTTTTTTTGGGGAACAGCGATGTTCTTAAAGTCCAGCAGCGCCTGGAAAGAAGGATCAGTGGTGCTTAACTTCACACATCACTGATTAGGTTGCTCTAGTTAAAGTATTTTTTTTCTTTTCTGTGAAGAAAAAGTCTGCAGAAGGGCTTGACCATTTTGAAATGACAAAGGAGAGTGTTGAAAAGCCGAAAGCAGATTACAAAAGTCTGTAGTACAGATTCAATATAATATCTCTAAGGAGAGAATTTACAGATATAATTTAGAATAAAAAAATTCTAGACAATTTTTTTTTTCTAAGACCATTTGCAAATCACTAACAATGCACATGTTTTATTTGCCACAGTCGGCAGGCTAACAAACCGTCCTGTGACTCAAGCCCCTGAACTCCACCAAACCAGGGCCTGTAACAAATGTGCTTATTTCTTAACTTTAAATATTGCGCGGTACACCCTGGGCAGGTTGCCAGCCAATGACGGAATAACACAAAGAAACTCAGTAGAAACAACCATAGGCATCCAGATGGAAAGAATCCCACACATGAATGGGGATGACATGTAGAAAGACCACATGCCTGAGTGAATTTCAGTAGAAGAGAAACTAGTGTACAGCTATCAAAAACGGCACAACCAGGAAAAGATGAAATGTGAAACTGTCTGTGACAAAATTTACATCTAAAAACCTAAAAAATCAGCAGGCTAAAATGTACATACACAATAAAAGAAAATCTATGCTAGGTCTGATCTAAATCCTTAAGGTTTTTTTTGGACCAACGATGGTCATAGAATAGAATAGAATAAAAAAAAAAAAGCCTTTATTTTCCCACAATGGGGAAATTCTTGAGACCTTAGAGCTGCTGGAAGGAAGGACCTGCAACACCTCTCCTTGGTGCACCTGGAGTGAAGCAGTCACTGAAGGAGTTCTCCACCTCTAAGACTTCATTTAATGGTTTACACTGCACCAATTAATTTTGAATAATAATCAACAAGACTTGCATCTCTAATTGAAATGTAAGTGTAAATACAGAGAGCTCCATTAGGGCTAAAAACAACCAATGAATATAGTTAAAATTTACACCTTTAACACCAGATTACCCTACTGGTGTGAGTCATGGTAAATAAAACCTTAATTAATTAATTATAAGTAAGATTTATTGTCTTTGCCAACAAGCACAACTTCTGGAAGGAAGCAGATAGAAGACAAAATGACATGCTGTCATCCTGAGCATTTTAATTTATAATATCACAAAACTTCTTTATTAGAGTTAGATTTGATCATTACTGAAATTTTGGATATGTGAGAGATGTAAATGTAAATGTTCAGTATATGAAAGCTAAAGATTTAGTTCCCATTCCCTTTCCCATACTGTACCTCAAATGTGAGAAGTGTTTGTATGGGTGTGCACTCTGCACAGATTCACAGTAATATTTTCCTGCATCTTCAGCCTGAGCCCCACTGATTGTCAGAGTGAACCGAAGCTCAGATCCACTGATGCTGAAAAGATTCAGACCAGATGACCTGCAGTTGGTTTTAGGAGGCTGCCCAGGTTTCTGCAGCTACTACCTGAGATTATCAACACCAATCATTAGGAGACTTAGTCACTCGCCATCAATCTGAACTGTCAGCAGTATAATCAGACACATCTTTGTCAATATAAATATAAATAAATCATATCATATCATACACTAAAAATGAACCACACAGATTAGTGCTGATGTTCAGGGAAGTGTAGCTGAGATTTAGATTAAAATAGGAACCACACAGGTGGAGCTGGATGAGAAGTTTCACTTTTTAAAACATACAGCAAAGACAGGTACTGTACTGCCCTCTTGTGTCAGAAAACGAAATGCACATTAATTAAACCATAAGCATTGTCTGATTGTATGGCAGATATAAAAATATATCAGGAAGAAATTAAGAAAGAGTGTATGGGTAAGATAAAGCAGACTATGTCGAAGATGAAGTAAATTACAGGAATCAAATTACAGCAGAGTTTGAAATAAGAATAGAAACTACCTTCATACTGAGCTCAAATCAAGAACTGAATTCCTTCTCTCTCTGTTCAGTAGATGTGAGATCTTTCTGACTGCGGTCTAAGATATCAGTTAGCTGGAGAAGCCAGATAGTCGGTCATCTATAGATCAGCCGAGGAAAATGTAGTCTCTCTTGTCTGTTCCTGTCAGAAAATAAGCTGCTGCTTTTACCCTGCATTTACCCGAAACAAAACAATTAAAGGTAAGGCGTTCATCTGCATTTAAATCTCAGTGTTAGTCCAAACACGCTTACCCTAGAAATGAGTGTACATTTTAGGAACAGAGGACGCAGGATCCAGGCAAGACAGATAGTGGAATAACAAATAAAACGTTTAGTTCACAAAGGATTAGTGGGTCCACAGTATATCAACATCTAAGAGAAAAACACAAGTTAGTGACCACAATAATCTGATGGAGGATGATTATGAACATGTGAGTTACTAACCTGGTTTTACAATTCAGTCCGTGCCTAAAGAACGAGGATGATTCCAGCTGGTCGGCTGACAAGAGGCAGTGGACGCTGCCAGAGAGTTCCAGACGTGGAAGCCTAGAAGGCTGCAGAGCTGACAGGAGATCAGATCCGAGCTGACGAAGAAAGGTAGAATAATCCACACGGCGAAGTCAAGAGGCAGATCCAGGTTCAGTCCACAGAAGAATCCTAAAGGAGTCAGAAGACAGGCCAGGCAAACAGATCAGACAGTAGCAGTCAGGCTCAAAGGTCTAAATGCAGAAACAGATCAAGAACAGGCAATCAGAACGCTATAGAAATACTAGAAAACTCTCAACACCAAAGGATCAAGAATAATCTAACACTGATTGCTGGAAACAGGCAACATAAATAGCAGCTGGAACAGGTGGATCAGATGAGCAGTGGTGAGAAAACAGGGCAGAGCTAGACAGGCGAATTAAATGAGCAATCCAGCCAGCCATCAGCACCAACATCATGACAATGTGACCCGGTAATTGGCCCAGACTTCTATCCATAAACTAACCCGAAATGTACCATACACAAGAATTGTATATGGTACATTCAAGACCCATGCACTGATGCAGGCTTGGAAGGTTTATGCATGCATCTATATCTATTTTTTGAGATTTTATCCATGCATTTTATACATGCATACATGAATTTTAAATCCATTAAAAGGTTTATATACTATGCATGTGGCTGATATTAATATTCTCACCACTATTTTCCTTTTTTTCTATTTATTTTTTTCTGTCTCTGAAAAGTTTCACTCCCAGTCCACCTGCAATATCTTCAATTTAACTGGGCTGTGTTGAGCCATAAACCCAGATATATATTTTGGACATTTAGGATCAATGTCCAGGCTGGTATTAACTTTGATAATTATTTTAGGGATGATGCAGTTTTGCTCTGCTCTTGGACTCACCTTGCCACTTTCTCTAAACCCCCTTCTCACATGGGACATTGCTACTTGGACATTTGATTCTTTCCCCCAGCTTGCTTGGGGTCTTTTGCGGCTAATCTTGGGCCAGCCACATAGAAGAGTCCACAGGAAACCAGAATCTGCAGACCAACCAAAGACTAAGTGGATCTGGTGGTTAATCTCAGAACCAGATTGCTGTAAAAACATACTGTTCTGCAATATTTCCCTCTGAGTTTACAGGAAACCTGAAGATGCCAGAAACTGGATGAGTGGAGTATCTGAGAAGGATCCAGCTTTCCTTCTAACGGCCTGACATTCAAAGCAGGAGAAATTACATGTCATCAGTCAAACAATATGTTTTTTTGCTGAATTGGATTGTTTCATGCACTTACTGTTGTGAAAGACGTACTAACAAGAAGCCAACGCTGACATGTTTTGAGATGTTGTTTATAAAACTAAAACAAACTTTATTTTACTAAAGATTTAAACTCTGATATAACATTGACGTTCATCTGTTTCCTCATATGCTCATCACATTTAGTTACCAAAATATAATCACTTATTTAAGAGGAGTCCCCTCGTGTCTGCCAGCTACCAGCTCAAAAAAGGTTAAGGATCAATTAACTAATTGGTATATCATTGCCAGTTGTTCACAGAACAATATACGACAGTCCAATATTTTTTGATTAAATAACATATTTGTCACATCACTGGAGTAGGCATTGAATATATACTTACTGCAAAACAGGTGATAGCCTTTTCTTCAAATGTATTCAATATCTTTACCACAAGACGGCAAAGCGACTCGGCTGACTGTACTGTTATCTGGCGGGGCCACTTTCCTCCTTAATGTGAGCTTAACAGTCCCTCCTAACTACTGCGGATCCAAGCAAGCATCACACTCTTTGAAAAAATTGCTTTTTTTTTAATCTTCTACATTTTCACAATTATCTGCGTCAAACTTTAGTGCAATATCTGTTCATTTGATTTTAAATTTTGAGAGCAAGTGAAGGTTAAATACAATCATAGAATAACTGGTTTTAATGATTAGGATATATTTTTATCTTTATAAAGGGAAATAAGCTAGAATGTTTTTGCTTGAATTTTACTCACGCCATCTCCTTGATCATCCATTTATAGTGATATTTTTATTTGCTAAACTTACCCTTTCATCCATCCCAATTTAAAAGATTCCAGACATTTATCTTGTCTTACTTTCTTCTGTCTGCAAACATTCCTGTCTAGAATAATTCCATGTTTAACATCTCCTAGATTACTATGTCTTTCAGTTGAATGGGTGAGTATTTCTATTGTAACAAAGTGGTCCATGCCCTCATGTGTCTCTATGTGCAATCCTGACCTAACTTCAAGGACATCAGTTAAACACAAAACCCTTTAGCTCCAACTTTATTAATAATTTATTAACTCTTTGGATTTTATTTAAGGACAGTTGCTTATCTCACGATTGTCTAAAACAGTTTCTTTTCACACTTTCAGGTCATACAAACACATTTGGATTATTTGTTCTGGTTTAAGCAGATAACTGAAGCATAGTTTGTTTTTGTTTTCTTCAAAGTTAACCTGTCAGGTACCCAATAAGAATTGTACTCCAGTAAACACTTGTTAAAGAGACATTTTGATGTACTTATTTTCTACAGTAATCCCCTGGTTTAACTGGTAATCTAACATGAAGCTGGATTATTAAGGTATCACACAGTTTGGAGTCCATAACTCTACAAAACTAGGGGACTGACACTGAACCAGAATATAAAGAGAAACATAGATTTTAAAAATGTCCACCGCTGTTAGTTACTACAATGAAGTAACAATATATATTTATATATTATCAGCTGTTAAAAGTACAAGACATTACACAATATACAGACAATGTAACAAAAAATAAACTCCAGTATAACTTTGAACATGGTATAGAGGATAATTGTGTTGCACAGGGATCAAAAGATGAAGAGAAAGAATGACACCAAGTGAAAGATAAACGGTGCATGCAGAGGAGCAACTGTATAAAGAAAAAACTGAATGTTTTTTAAGATAAAGTTTTTATCAAGTAACCTGCATTCAGATGAGCTTGCATAGATTGTGCCCGCAAAAGGTACTGGAAACTTTACAAAAATGTTTGAGATGAATATCTGGATAATGAGATTTGCAACATATAAGAAAAAGATAATAGAAAATAATTCAAAAGTTGTATATTTTGTATGATTAAGTATCCATCATTCGTTGTGATAACTCGATTTTACTGATTTTTACGGTTTAAAAAAACGATACTGATGAGGTTTTTTTTTTTCACAGCACAAAGAGAACAATGTCTCATTCTGGGCCCCAGCACAGAAAAGGTTTTACGGTTCTAGGACCAGACTAGAATGTAACTAAAGACTACCAGTGAAAATAGTTGCAGATGTAATATGACCGAGTTCGTTCAACAAAAGATTCCCCTTAAACACTGTTTGGGGTTAAACTTTTTATGCATTAAAAGAATTTCTCTTTTGACCTGTCTGACATTGCATTTGTGGATTGTTTCAAGCAACAAGCTGCACATGAGACTATTAAAGAACTCCCTTTGGCGTCAAGCAGCTTTTTTTTAGCGAAGCAGGGATTTATAAGAGTATCAGTCCAGAAACAAAAGAGAGGGTGGAGCAGCACCTTAAGACAACTACGAAAACATAAACATTGATGGACTTCTTGTCCTCATATATATATAAATCACAGAAAGACAGTAGGTGGTCCATGTAATTTTTTTTTAAAGTCTTTAAACACAAGGGGGCAGAGTGGTGTTAGCGATTGCTCTTCATTGCCTCCTTGGCTGCCAGGATGAGAGGCGTCAGACTGGACAGAGGTTTCGCCTGCTTCAGGAATGGATGCTGTAGAGAAACACAGAAAAAAGGATGCAAGACATTGATTTTCTAATATTATAAACAGTATCATTTTATTTATAAGTTCCACCTGAAGCGCGTTAAAATATGTCCTCTTTGACTGTTATCTGGTTCTAAAGAGAGGTTGTACAATTAAAATCAAAATGATCAACTACGGATAAATATTAACAGAGCTGTGGGGAAACTGATCAGACAAGCGCTTCAACCATTTTAATAAAGCACCTTTAAATATGAACAACAAGCAGAGGCAGAGTCCTGCAGAAATCATGAATAGGGAGTTTTACAGGGCAGAAGTACTGCTTTATATACCGGTAGATTAAAATGACAAAGACATAAAAAGCTAGTTAACTCGTCTACAGGCTTAACGCAAACATCTCTCATCCTACATATTCAACAAAACGGAAAAACAAGGTTGTGATTTACTAATGTTGTGAGATGTATTTATCAAAGATGACAATCTTTGGCATAATTTACATTTACCGTATAAAGTGTCATTTACATGAGAACATAGATAAGCACTACTAAACTGTCTTAACATCTCATTGTAAATCTTGCTTGTATTTTTGCTCAAAGAAACTGAAATAAAAATAAATAAAAAAAGTAAATAAATAAATAAAAACTATGAACTGACCAAACAGCAATTTCTTGCATTCGGTTCCACCTGTCAAAGAGTTTTCAGTACTTTGTGTGCCAATGGAAACTTTAAAAAGCTGTTAGTAACATCCTCTAGATATCACACCTTTAGACAGAGGTAAAGCCTATTACACTTCTGCAGGTTCCTCCAGTGCAGGGAAAACAATATTCTGCTCTATAAAGATGCTTAAACACACAAGAATATAATCTCCAATATGCCTTAAAACATCTGGGTGACTAAAATAAGGGCTATTTGTTGTACCTGTAGCAACTCTTTACCAGAACCTCGTTTCTCCACATCCATCTCCAGAGAACAGGACAGGAAAGACCTGAAGACGGGAGATAACTTCTCTGGACTCTGCAGCTCAGGAGTCCCGTTGGTGGCGATCAAATACAATGCCTGAGTGAAGGAGCCATTAGAAAATATAATAGAATTATTTTTTTCCAATAGAGCATCTGATTATAGAACAAAAAGCTTAAGTAATGCACAACATTATTAGGGTTTTATATTGAATAGATTATTTTGCTTTCAATTTCTGATCCAGATGTTTCCATAGTTAATAAATCCAAGCAGGAGGCATTTTAGCCTCTTCTTTTAAAAGCCATTGCTTCTGGTATTCAACTTTCAGCCACATGATGGCGCAAGAGAAAAGGTCTCTCTGATTAAAAGTAAGAGAATCCTAAAAAAATGTTTTTATTCCACTCCTTCACTAAAGTTAATGTCATTTAAGTCAATCCAGTCAACAATTGCAGAAACATTTACACTACATAGTAGATGCTGAAATTGCTATAAAAAATTATCCAAATATTATAACACACTCACCCTGAGAGGATTCTCATTGAGATACGGAGGCTCTCCTTCCACCATTTCTATAGCCATGATCCCCAGAGACCAAATGTCCACTTTGGGTCCGTAAGCCTTCCTGGTCACCACCTCAGGGGCCATCCAGTACGGAGTTCCCACCATGGTGCTGCGCTTGCTCTGCTCAGGGGTGATCTGGGCACAGAAGCCAAAGTCGGCTGCAGAAGAGAAGAGAAAAGTTGGGGTGAGGTACAAAGATTTGTAAGTCCTTTAAGAACCATATGTGTGATCATGGATGAATCAATCCTTCCTTACTGAGTTTGACTGATCCATCCATCCCTAGAAGTACATTGTCGCTCTTAATATCTCTGTGGATGACCTGGTTGGCATGAAGAAACTCCAAAGCCTGCAGGACCTAAATACAAAGAGTAAAGAAATAATTTAAGTATACATGAATAACAATTAAAGATTGCATTAGTATTTAGTGTTGGTGGATCATTATCTATATATATATCTATATATGTATCTGTATAAATATAGATATATATACCAGATTCTTATCGGGTGATAAAAAAATAATCTCCGTTAATCTATTCTCAAAGCTGGTTTGGGAGCTGGGTCTATATTGACTAAGCTATAACGACTTTCACCTTCATATTTTAGCGCGAATGTATATCGGACGTTGATGTATATCTGGGGGCGAGAATGAAACAGTCTTCTAACCTGAGTAGGCCTACTGTGAAATAACCACATATAACACGACGTGCTGAAATGGATGCAGCTTTAAAGGCGCCGGATTTGCTTAGGGGAAAATTTATTTTTAAGAAGCTTCCTAATGGAAACCTTGACAAGACTAAAACCGCTTGCTCCTTGTGCAAGGTGGAATTAGTTTACTTCATGAGTTCTTCCAGTCTCAAGAACCACCTACAAGCAAAGCATCCCTTAGCCAATGCGGAAGATGCCGGCGTTACTGTACACCTCATCAACGCCAGCTGGGAACTTCTTTCCTTCGCTTTAGGTAGGCTATGGTATGTCATTTTAAATTAAATTTTACCATGACACCACAAATGATTACCACAGCATTATGTCGGGTCTTGATGATTGCTCGGGTGAATGTCGGTAAAGTGGGACGCTTGTTTAATCTATTTTCATCACCAGTTATCATAGCAGAAAAGCTTCCTGAAGCAGTTTGTGATGCATTTTGGAAACAGGAGATGAGCCCCTTGTCTAAGGCGCCACCTGGTTCTAGAAACCTGTTCAAAGACTTACTTTTACTTATTTAGGTAGCACACACGTATTATGAATGCCTTTGGCAGAATTTAAATGAGCCATTTTATTCAAGATGAATCTAAATTAATTCCAAGATTACACATGAAAATAATCTAGATTAAAGACAAATCTATGCCCACAACCAGTATTTATGTATCTTGAACTTATCTATATTTTGTGTTAACACATCACTATTTAAAGTATTTCAAGGGATTTCATGAGATATACCAACACAATAAATTGTGTATTATAAAGGGGAAGGAAATGGATCCATGTTTTCAAAAAACATTACAGTCCAGATAAAATGCTGAAATAACTTGTTACCATCTACCTTTATTTTCTAGTAGGCCAAAGGGAAATAGATTTACTCAAATCTAACCAGGGCACCTCCTCCCATGCTTTCTCTTTTGTCTTGTGGTACATCTGAGGGTAATCAACTGATTATTTTAGTCCAGCGGAAGAAAATTGGGATGAATTTCAAACCATGTCACACATTTCAGGGTGTATTTATAAAACAAAATGTGAAGAAATCCCAAAGTAATACATTGAGGTTTGTGGTCATAGTGAGAAATAATGAAAGCAGAGCAGCGTCACTGTAAGTAATCAGATGGTTGCAGAGGATCTAAACTTGTAACCTGGTGGAGCCAGTTTTATGTCGTCTAAATAAAGCAGCATAACTGATTTAACAGGTTTTATTCAGGTTCCATGATGAGGAATGAGATGAGCTTACCTCTCTGCAAACGGCAGCGATCTGAGCTTCGTCCATGCACGTCTCCGTCACCACATCAGTCAGAGAGCCACCGGCCAAATACTCCATCACCACAAAAAGCTCATCCCCAACCAGGAAACTGCACACAGAAACAGCTAAATTTGCTGCCGTGCACTGAGTTGTGGTTTTTCTCTACTGCATTTATAAGCAAGAGATACCTGTCTACAAAGTTGACAATGTTGGGGTTCTTCAGCTCTTTCATGACCAGGATTTCATTGATGATGAGCTCTTTCTTTGGTTGTTTCTGCAGGTTGATCTGTTTTATGGCCACCTGTAAATCAAAGCATTTAGGAAATGCTCACAGACTACGCCAATGGTATGTCTTAAAGAAGATTTGTTTAAAACATGTTTTTGTATTTGCTTAAAAAAAATCTGATTAAGAGATGCAAGAGGAGGACAAATGAAGAAAGTATTTGTTGCAATAGTGAGAAGCTCACCTCTTGACCTGTGGCAACATCTATGGCTGTGTAAACTGTACCAGAGGCCCTGAAAGAAAAGGAAATCAGAAGATAAATCAAAGGGGTTTGGGTGTTTTGTTTTTCTTTTACATGTACAGCTCCAATCCGAGGTGTTTACCCATCATGGGCACCAATGTCACATTTATTTAGACGTTTGAAGGGGTTATATTTTTAAGAAAAGACGATTATCAGGTTTATGTATCTTTGAACACAAGAAGTGGTTTCAATCTATATAACTTAATGTTATATTTCATGCCTATATTTCAATACGAGGATCAATGTACTTTAGCAAGCTGCAGAAAAATCTCATGTTTTACTCTCATTAACAAGCTTCTGCAATGATTCTAGCATTTTTTTTTAAGTCAGGTGAAAGCTACGAATATTATTGAGACTTGAAGGTGACTAATTTTTGTGCAACTTTCAGCTGCTGTAGAAATCTCTGGTTCATGTCAGGCTTTATCCACCGTAGTTCTTGTTTTGTTCCAGCACATCCTTAACCGGCCTGTCGATACGGGGAGACAACCAGGTCAGTTGTCCATGGCCAAAATTAGAGTGGCAAATTAGAGTGGTAGAGAGGCCTTGAATCAGCCCCATCTGTGGCCATGAATATTTTTTTCTTCGAAAAAAGTTTGCGAAGAAATACAGTTTTTATTCTTAAGTTTCATAAAATCCTTTCCAATAATTAATTTCTTCCAATTATAACTTTTAACCCACCTCCCATTCTTTCTAAATGGTTATGGCGCTGACTCAGCATGTTTAAAGTTTATTCAGCTGCTATACATAAGGCTTGCAGCACTGCAGGTAGAGACAGGAGCATACAGGACATACATTTTCCCCTCTGTGTCGGGTCAGGCAGCAGCTCTATTGATGCCACTTTAACTGAGGAAGCTGCCTCAAGCTGCAGAAACAGTTTAATTTTGAACAGTTGTCACCTGCAGAAAGTCACTGGCAGTCACAGCTTGTTGGCGCTGTGATGCCGCAAAAAACTCAGCAGTTTGTTCAAGATTTGTTCTCTATCTTTGCCAGATGAAGCTATAATTAAGAGGCAGCAGCTGTTGTTAAGAGGTTGCAATGTTTTGAATTTGACTGATGTGAAAACCAGGCACGTCTAGGGCTGCATCAGCCAGGTGCTGCAGCGGAACAGGTGAATAAATACACAATTCTGCTGTACAGCCTCAAATCCTTAAGTAAGATTTTGACCATAACATTTTATGCTCCAATCTAAACATGTCACACAAGCAGAAGCCTATAAATAGGATCGGTTGTGACAGGAGCAGGTATGGAAAGCCAAAAACAGCCAAGAATTCAATAAATTAAAAAGGGGCAAGATTTCTATAAAGAAAAGTGTTATTTGTGATGCATGCATTACATAAAGAAATATACTTTTTTTATCCTAAATAAATAATCAAATATTTGTATTTATGTAATAAATTATTAAAGACATAGTTTCCTTGCTTCTAGAAAAGGTTATGTAAAATTTTAACATTTGATCCAGGCTAAAAGCTGTCAGCTGGCCTGATCATAAACTATTTGAATCCATCTGAGAGAGACTGTTTGGGTGCTACAGTTGAAACTTGAACACATTTGAAAATGATCCCAAACAAAACTCAAAACTGAACTTTCAAGACATGGGAATAGCAGCAGGGATGTAGGTGTATATTATAGCCGTGACCAAGATGATATTCATGTTTTAAGGAAGTTTATGTAACTTTCTAACTGGAGCATAACTTCCTTTTATTTCAAAGTTTTGACGTTTCATATTCTCAGTTCAGCTAAGCGTCTGACTCACCCCTGGCCGATCTTTTCAAAGCGGGTATATTTCTTTTTGGGGTCTCCAACACTGACAATACTTCCTGAACATCACAAAAAGAAGAACAAATATACATTAAGTATATATTAAATGTGGTAGGATTGAATACAGCTTTTATTTTTTGTTATCTGACTATAATCTGTCGTGTGTTAAACTTACTTAATTTCTCCATAATTTCTTCATCAGATATCTTGCCCGTCCTCGGTTTCTGTCGGTCTGCAGCCTTGGAACCGTCTGACTCCGGGGCATGGGATGGGACCGACTTTGTGTACACCTTTAAAAAACAACACAAAAAAAGAGGATATAGCAGCTTTACTTTGCTCTACAGGCTTATTGAAATGTTAGAAATAAGTTCTAGCTCTAGTCAGACTCACCGATTTTGTGTGCTCAGGCCTTGGTGCAATAACTGGAGGTGGCGAATCGTCGTCATCATCATCTCCATCTCTTGCTAACGGAGAGGTAGCTGTACCTTTTTTGCCAGACTGCAACAGTGAAAGTAACCAAGAATACAAAATTATGCTCAGGAACTGCTTAGGGTAGAGAAAATTCATTAATTTGTGAAAATAATTATTAACGCTTCTCACCATCTGGGAATCTTTGTCTAAAGGAGACAGAAAACAGTAAAGAAATATAAAGATTACAGCTCAGTATCAAAGATTTATGTGATTTTCTATAGGGATGCAAACCTGACCTGAAGCAGAAACACTGAGATATTTCTGTTTCCCACTGGTGGAGTCGTAGAACTTGAGAGCATCAAGGACAGCCTGGGGATTCTTCTTCTGTTCCGATTCACTGATGTTGGAGGTCTGAAGAAGCCGGGCCCATTGCTCCGGCATTCCCTGGACAAACAAACATGCAGGCAAAGCTTATACTGATCAGTATCTGCACTTAAAAGAAGGGAAATAAATAATGGGAAACACCCTAAAAACACAGAATTAGTGGTCAGATACACGACACTATGCTTAATGATGCAAATTTGTTTTGTAAGTTTTAAGAAAAAAAATCCTATTAGCTCAATCTACATAACTCTGGTCTGAACAGGAAATCATTTGACGCTTCCTGTAAAATTATCAGAATGAGATCAAGTTCTCTTCCACATCAACTTCAGCTCCTTCAAGCCATTCAATTTAAAACTTTGAAAGCTGTTAAAAGACATTTTAATTTGTATTTAAACATCTGACATATTCTCTTCAGAGGCAAACCCTTAAGTTTTGTTTCCTTATATTCCCCTGTAAGGCTTTATTTCCTTGTGTATCAATGGTGGAATAAAAAGAAAATAAAAAAACCTGACTTGCCTGTTCCACTGAAACTCAACTGTTTGGAAATATTTCTGAAACATTAAAAGCCACGTCTGTAAATATAAAAGACCATCTCTGTTATTGCAGGTAATGCTGTTTATAATTAACCGTTTCCAACAGACCAACGATATGTTCAACCGCAGACGGCGGAAGCAGATAGCCAACTAATTACCAGATAATATTAATTAACCTACCATAGTTTGAACTGTGTTTAAGCAAACAGAAACAAATAGTTTACGTTTAACATGTGTGTTAATGTTGCCTAAATCCAGACATCCATTGCTTAGTTATATGGGGTGGTAGGGCTTATATCCTGGAGCCGAAGTAGCAAGAAATAACCCTCATATACAAGCTAGAAGCAGAATGGCTTCAGCCAGGACAAGAGCACCCAGGGGCCACCATGTTTTCTATATTACGATGAGAGTGATAAAACTGATATATGGCGTAATTCACAAACAATATTGTCCTAAGGGCCTTTTAGAGAAAGGCACAGGATTAATTCAACATACGAATTCATATTTTGCATTAACTCATTTAAGGTTTTTAGTGGGGGTGCACGTGCACCGATTCCAGTTCTCTGGCCAAACAACAATCTTTTAAAAGCCTTGCCTGCGAGTTCATATATCTGCAAATACCGATTCTAATCATATCTAACATGGTCAGGTGTTATAAATCGAGATGGAGCATATATCGCCTCTGAGATCTTGTAATTAGCTGGGTCTTATATCAGATGAATGATCCAGAATTCCGATCAAATAATTTTTGTTTTAATGGATACGATACACACCGATTTTTTTTCATCATCGAACACAGCACACACAGCAGCTAGTGGTTCATTTAAGCCTGCTTCAAGCTTGATGCCTTTCCTCCCAAGATATACGGCTCATTCATTCAAAGTAGTATCACATTGGTATCGGATATCAGCTGAACACATGTATCGTACTGGATTGGAACTGGAAAGAAATGGAGCACCTCTAGTTATAAGGTCACAACACACTTTTAATGCTGTAATCTTAGTTTTAAAAACTATGGAAATTACCCAAGAAACAACACAAACCTGTTTTATCTGCACAGGATGTAATGCTCTCTAACTGAAATAAAAAATAAAAAAAAAGCGCAGACGTCTCCCAGAATGAGATGGAAGGGGTTTTGCACAGCCAATCAATTGATCTAGGGTATAGTCCTCGTTAAGACCTTTGACAGTGGCTGATTTTCAAAGCATTATAGAGGAAGATACGATTGGTTGACAATATCAGTTTCACATGTAACATAGACGATTGAGCTTATAATACAAATCTGACTCAATCTATAAGCCCAGCACTAAAATTTAGCCCATAACAATCTCATACCAGCTAATGCTGTAGATATGGATACATTTAGATAAGTTTGCTATTTTCTTAAAAATACTTAGTGAAACAAGTAAATATCCCTTCATTACATTTACAAAGCAGCTAAGAGAAACTGGCTTCAATATCACAGTATATTCAAACCACAAGGGGAACAGGAAGTCATGGATTACTAATTAAAGGTTTCTGAACACACAGATCGAACTGAAAAAAAGAACACTTCATGTATATAAAAATATTTTTTATATAAAATGTATATATAAAAATGTAATAATATATATATTTTCTTTTTGAAATAGAATTCTTTAAATCTGATTGTGGCACAACTTTACAAGAGCAGCAGCTTTAAATGCACAACTTTGGCTATGGTCTCTTATTTATCAGTCTCAGCCGAGGAAAGATTTACATGAAATATTCAAAGCAACTAATAAAGTCCTCAAATAGTTATTCTGGAGGAATCAGTTTAGTAAGAGATATAAATCTCTGGGGAAAAAAAAGCTTTATCTACCATTAATTTTCTCCTTGGTTAGCCTTATCCTAATAGCAAAGGAGAAGAGGAGGCGACTATGAAATGTGAGGTTAAACATGACGAAGATGCCATACCCCCCCAGGTTGGAACTCTCCGTTCATAAAAGGAGAAGATGTGCATATTAAATGAGATTTAATGCAGTCAGTCACACACTGAAATCTAAAACGTCTCACGGTACAATAAAGCAAATACTTCCTTTTACACAGTTTTAGGTGTAACATCCACATATAAATAAAAGACAAAGCTTTCACAACTCTGCAGTCGCCTAGGTAACCTAAGTGGGAGTTAGGCATGGTGGAAGTGTTTGGAGAAGGGTTAGTTTGTTCTGGATTCTTTTATTGAAGGATTACTTGTCATTAGTAAATGGTTTCAGCCATTCATATCGATGATGAACTTTTTCTTGGTCTCTAAGTAAGCAAATGTTCTACAATAATCTTCTACGCCTCACTAATAATAAACATTCAGCAGCTTACATTGATTCTCACATCATTTTAGTAGTATGTGTATTCTTCCAGGCTTTATTCTAAACAACGCAAACTAATTGGTGCTTTCATATAACAGTTAAATGTATCTGTCAAATCTCTAGCATCCTGTATTAGCTTCAAACCAAGCATCAACGTCAGGATTAAAAAATAAGTGAAACAAGCATGCAGTATTGTGGAGATAGACAGATATTTATTTTTATATTTTTGGACTATATTCATTTTTTTCCTTGCATTGGTGCCTAGTTTGTCAATACCTTCGGCAGCCATGTCTTGAGATAACATTAAACTCATGCATTCCTCCATTTGCTATCAATTCTTAATGTTTAGTTTGATCTGTTAATAAAGTTTGGTTTATTATGTAAATGTAGGAAGAAAATGGATAAATTGCAGCCTTAAAGACCCTGTGTCAATGGACCTCACACTGCCCTGCTTTAGTATTCCTCCCTTTCATCCATAGGTATTAACAAGATGGAGCATCTTGCTGATGGAAATCATCCCCCCTGAAAGATGCTTCAACCAACTGTGCAGACGGAGCATTCAGGGTGATGTTCTGTTTGTTTGGTATTTTGGCATATGGGCCACATAGTGGAAATTAGCTGTTCTCTAACCAGAGTACCTTCTTAAACATGTCTGCTTTATTCTTAAAGCCGTTTGTGGTAATCCTTTAATGCCAACTCCTGTTGTTTTTTTTTTCCTCTTTTCTGCCCTTATTAACAGTCAAACTTACTAAAGTGTTTGCACATTAAATTGAAATATTGTTACAACCCCCATATGCAAGAAGACTGAAAGTTACTTTAGTGTTTTTAATGTTTACATTTTTTTTTATTAAAAAAAGTAATTGGGTATTAAGAATTCATTATGTTAATAATTCTTAATGTAAAAAAAGCTGGAGCAAACAGATCTCCGCTGACCTGATGGCCTACAGTGTGCGTCCAACGACAATGAAAGCTACACACACACCTAAACGCCTTTGTTTTGTATAACTTTCAGGGACATTTAATTGACATGCATTCATTTCTATTGCCTAACCCAGACCCTTAGCCTAACCCTAAATATTACTAATCAATAGAGGTAAATTTTACCATTTGGGGACCCATTGAATTTCCCCATTTGGACCACTTTGGACCTGCAGGTCCCCACAATGAGGGATATTTGACAATACACTGCCCAAAGTTGTAGCTCAAACAAACACAAACACACACACATATGGCTCCTCCTCCTCTAATGGCACTGTAGGTGCACAGACAGTACCAGCTGTAAGGGAAAATGCTGTGGCATTTGCCCCTTTAGACAGTAAATCTTTAGTTTATTCCAAGAATAGATCTCTGGGTAATGTCATCAGTGTTGCTGTTTTACAAAATCTTGGTGTGGAAAGCAGAATCATCCAGGTCAAAGCTCTGAAAAACATCAGCAGCTCCATGCAGTTACACTTTGGTGTGTGGCTATCCTTTTCTTTGTTTAACAACAACCTGTTTCTTTCATTCAGCTTTAAAGATTCCTTAGAAAATGTGTTAAAGGGGTATGATTACTTCCATAATGAGCCATTAAAACAGACTTACGGTGAATTCTCCAGTGACAGCATCAAAACCAACATGGATGGTGTGTTCAAAGTCTGATGGGGAGGAGATTTCAGGCCTGTCCTTGTCCTTATCCTTCTTTTTAGATCCTGCAGGGAAAAGGTCAAAGGTCATTCGTTACCTTTTAGCTAATTGTTATAGAAGCAGTAGGGTTTTTGGAGGTATTCTTTATGTGTTGGTTTTCTCCAACTATCTCACCTTTCTCACCTTTATCAAACATAGAGATGATCTTGTTCCTGGGTTTCTTCTCCTCTGGGGCAGACGGCAGCGGCCGAGAGCTGTGATTGGCCGACTGGGGATCCTTGGCTCCTCCTCCTTGGCTGCTCATCCTGACAGGGGGGGCGGGGGGCTTATCCTCACACACTCCGCTGTCACACATCTACACCTACGGTCAACCTGCAGAGTCAGAAAAAGGGACAAAAACAAATCAAATGTAGGATAAAAAAGACCCAGATTAACGCATGTAAAAGAAAAAAACTAAAGAGAAGTAGTTTGAGCTCACATCTTCCTGTTTTTTTTTTTTCAGTCATGTTTCACAATGCTCAACCAACTGTTGCACAGCAGGCCACGCCGCTACAGGAAAACAACTTCAAAATCAGTTAAAACAGACAGAAAGCAAAGACAAGGACTTACAGAGATTTAACCAATCCATCCATGCTGCAGTTGGGTGTAAAAAAAAAAACTGGAATGAAAGGAGCAAAGCGCGAGCAGGAAACAGGTCCGAATAGACAAAGCAGCGTGCCGAGTCTCGCTCGAAGACACAAATGAATGAGGAAGGAAAGAAGGCAGTGTGAGACAGAGCGCGAGAGCGCAGTGTGTAGATGAGTGGCAGAGAGGAGCTGTGAACACTGATGTAAAAAGAGAGATTACTTCTGCAAAAACTGGTGACTTTCACAATATCATATATTTAAATAAAATTATTCTGTACACTGTATACTAGAAAATGAAGCTAAAATGCACAGCATAATTATAAAAACCTCATTACAAACTGCTGAGACATTATAATATAAAAAACCCTTGGCATCCATAGTGATCCATAACATCAAATAAATACCAACTAAAGTCAGTGGTGATTTTAAGGTGTCATCAAACACTTTTACTGGAGTAACATAGAAAGCAGTACTATTTAAACACCATGACTATTAAAAACATTTCCAAACAGGTAAATATGTTTTTCATGCATGCAGAGGAAAAGTGGGGGAGACTCTTTTCAGCCACTGGTAACATGCACCAACAGGTGTGGGAGGGGGGAGGCCAAAATTAATTTTTTTTTAAGAAAGGAGTCATTTTACCATAAAAATCTAAAAAGCTCCCACAAAGGTCTCAAATTTATAACCTGTTAGGTGTTTTTTCTTTATTTGCTCTTGCTTTCACTTACAAACAGCAACCACAAGCACCCAGCTGCTGGCAGAGGAGCTGCTTCCTACTTTGCCTCCTGTTCAACAGAAAGCCACAAGCTCTCATTATGACTTGAGTCTGATGAGGAAGGGGGTTGGGGCATCGTTCATTCATCATTAAAGGCTCTCCTGAATGTCTTGACTCCAAGTTCTCAAGAAGTTTCCTGTTAGAGATTGCTTGATCTCTCTGTGCATGCACTGGTTTTTCTCTTGGTACTCCAGTTTCCTCCTAAGTCCAAAAACGTACATGTTGGGTTGATTGGCCAATCAGAACTAGTTCTGTGTGAGTGTGTTTAAGCAGGACAGGGTGTCTCTGTGTCTCTAGGGTCCTGGTGTAGCCACCTGTTGAGTTTACTCAAGATATTGCCGATCAATGGCTGCATATAGGCAAACTGCAAGACTTAAACGGGAGTACAAAATATGTGTATGTATTGTGGAATAAAATTAACTTCTTCAAATTTCTTCAGAGATTCTTTCCAAAAACAAAGATTTGGGGCAGAGTTTGATCCCACCTTCAAACTGAAAAAGATATCTCCGCCACTAAGCTCCCAAACTCTGTAGGAGTCTCTCCTTTAATGGTGCTTTATGACGTTTGATGATCCAGATTTCAGATGTTGGAGAAGTGATTTCCAACATCTGAAACCACAAAAATGTGTGGTTTAACGACCATAAAGCACTTTACCTAACAGTTAAATCTTATTTAATGTCATTTTTACATTAGGGATGCTAATGCAACTAATGCCACAGTAACAGTATGGGAATGAAAGTCATTCCATCTGTTCGCCTAATATGGTAAAAACTGAGATTGCAGGCTGTCTCATACACCGGTACCAATGTACACACTCATGAAAAAACCCATCAACCTCAAAAGCACTTCATCCAGTCTTGCAGAGCAAGCGGTGCGATCAAGTGTGAGCAAAAAGCGATGCTCTGGGTGACATCACAGACAGGAAACAGGAAGCAAACAAAGGTTTCCTCACTTCCTGCGTCTGACCGCCAATGACAGAGGTTGCAGGAGAACAAAAGTGAGAAACGTGGCTCGGGTGGGTTTGACCTCTTCTTTACACACAAGCCCTCCTTCTGCAGGTCTTATGCACACCTGACCCCCTTACGAAGCTACATCCGAAACCAAACCGTGCAACCGTCTGATGTAGACTAAGATTCTAAAAAAATAATCAACAGGCTGTGGAACAGGAGGGCTTTGTTACAGAGGGGTTGACTTTACAAACTGAAAACAAACTTAGAAAATAACTCATGTGCAGGAAAACGGTGCTGTATTATTTGAGCAGCTCCAGAGGCGAATGCTGAACTCATATCCTAATCGTTATCCTGTGCAATGACTCAAACAGCTACTTACAATAGTCTTTTTCTATTGCAAATAACCATGAAATTTGCTGAAAAGGACTCACTAGGCTTGGTCCGTTTAAATCTCAAGGTTTAATCTGTCAAACACTCACCTGTTTGCAGCCTCCTCTCTGCCCAACAGAAGACCTGGTAAATTATGAATGAAGCCTTGTATCCCAGTTGAGTATATTGACTGCTCTCTTCAACACTCCTTTACTTATTTCGCTCTCTCAGTTCTCCTCTCCCTCTCTTTTTTTTACCCCTCTCAGGGCAGGTCTTTGCAGGCTACCTCATTCCTTAGCTTACTTAGATATGGCAAGTACATTCTTGCCCAGACAAGATAGAATTATACCAAGTAGAAAGAGACCTAATGAGCTGATTTTGGGTGCATTGGGCCAGGTTTGGACAAGTTACTTCTAAGTAGGAATTCCATAGCTGCAGGGCTGCTGCAGTGTTCAGGGCAGGAGGGTGTGTTCACTCTAAATCGTACAAATAAACACACACACCCACAGTAGTTTAATACGTGTCTTTGCCCAAAACACACATTCCTCTAGCCAAGACAGGTTCTATTATGAGCAGCTGAAGATGATTTTCTGTAGCTTGAAGGTAGACTCTTGGAGTCAGGATGGAAAAGTGCGGACGTAAGCAGTGTGGGGTTTTATCTCTGCTTCATCATGTCAGTGGTAGTTCTATACTGGTTGCCTTCTGAAAACTCAAATCTGTTTTATTTCTTTGAAAATATAAGATACAATCCAGTGTGCAATAGTCTCCACATAAAACTCTTTTCTTTATTCTACTTTAAAAAGAAATCATGCATTTAACAAACCTAAAGAGATTTTTGCAAACGGTCACAAGCTAATATGGAAGTCAGAATAAAATCATCTTTACAGCGAATAGTTAAAATTCCTGGTCACCCTCTTTGCTTTTCTGGACTTGTTGCAGCATTTTTCCAGTTCTTGCTATTGTGTCATTTGTTTTTCTTATCTTTATAAATATTTTATTACATCTTACTGTGTATCTCTATTGATTACGTATATCTCCTTTGTTATTTTACAGTAGCTTTGGTTTAGTTCTACATTCCAGTCTGTTGCTGTCTTGCAGTAATCGATCATATAAATTTGCATGCCCGTGCATATTCATCCCTCAACACAACAGCTTTTAAGCATGACCTTTAAAAAAAAAGAACTTAGATAAAGTGAGAGACTCGCTGATCTTGAGTCATCAGGCATGGACCAAAAAACTGTGAACATAAAGGGTTTTTATTTTCATCATAGTAGAGAATGTTTGGTGAATTTTGAATATAATTAACATCTAAATCTTTATCTTCTTGTTGAATAAATGCACATTTATTCAACAAGAAGATACCATGAGGAGCTATGAATGAATTACATTCATAAATTTATTTACATTTTTACATATTTTCTTATTGGTTGGAGAAATTATACTTTTTGCTACACCGACTTGCCTGGAAACTATATTTTGATGGATAACTTGGTGAAATAATGAAGTTGATGTTCAAATAAATTGAATATGATCGCATTTATACATCTGATCATACTTGATTTAAAATTTCAGCTCCACTTATATTATTTTTAAATGTTGGCTTTTTAATTCCTTCAGTTTTATTCATCACAAATGCTCTAAATTCCTGGTTTGCCTCAATAATTTTTCCATCTGTTCTAAGGTTACAGAAACTCTTTTCAGAAATGTGTCTCATACACAGTTCCATCCCTCTAACCCTTCATAATTTCTCTTCCCCATTTTTTCCACCCTCTCTCTGCATCAAGAGTACTTTCTATTCCCCGTGGCTGGCAGCCATCAAGGGAAACCCACTTCCTCATCCTGGAACTCCCCCAAGCCCAAAAGAGTCATAGGATCCAGCCCGACCAACCAGAAGGCAGCAGACACAGCCGCCAAGCTGTTTACAGGAAGTGGACAACAAGCCTTTTGTGTTCAACTTCTATAAAAGGATATTCAGAGGAGGACTTCCTTGAAGGAGTCATGGAACTGACACCATGTCCACGTCCTCTCTCTCTTTAACCAGCACAGAAAAAAAAAAAAAACGTCATGCACATGGCCAGACTGTAAGACATACAGTGTTTATAGTAAATGTAACTTAGTAAGGCCTTTCACCACATCCCACTAGTGGAAAATGAAGCATAAACTCAGAGTACAGCTGCATACTTTCACCTGGTATTTAGACAGCTGCCTCACCCATCTGTCAATATTTGGACCATAAATCTGGCATCCTGGGAGTGTGGAGCAGGTAGAAATAAAGACACAGTGTTAATGTGTGTAAGAGTTTCAATAGTTCAGCACCAGAGGTCTAAAAAGGAGAAATGGCAGATTTTTGCAATGAAAGATGGCTGCCCTCAGGACAGCCAGTGAAATTACACCATAGCAGATGGTCTCTTTATATTGTCATTTTACTGTAAGATCATAAACTTATAGCTCTAATTCTCAACATCTATGCAGCAAACCAATAGTTGACTTTATATGCTCTAGGTTTCATTCAGAGTTTAAGTGTATCACTGTTACAGAGTTGTTACAGAGGTGTTCTGTTCACCTCTGTAACAGTTAGATTACTATGGGTAAAGTAAATAAAAAACTGAGTCACATAATGTGAATTCATCTTAAAGCAGCTGTTTAATATTACAGTTTGTGTAAAAAATAATAGATTTTATAATAATCTAAAATTATAAGTTAAAATGATGAGTTAAAAGGATGCTGGACATGTAAAGTTAGTGATGTTGCACTCACAGAGGCACTCTTTGTTTTCTATCCTCCAAATTAAGAATAATAGTAAGTTTATATGATGGAAAACAATTATTCAGCAGACATTAAATCACTGGAACAAAAATGAGAAAAGAGTAAAAATAAAAGGGTCCCTAACTTACCTGTAGTCGGCCTTAAAAGTAGGCATTAACTTCATTAAGGTTGAAAAGCAGAGTATCTGTCCAGCACAACCTCAGATTTACTTCCAATAAAGCTCAACTGTGAAACTGCAATAGTCCAACTAAAGTAAAGCTTAGTCCAAAAAAAGAAATTAAAAGCCTTTCTAACAGGGAGACAAACATTGGTCTGTCTCGCCGGGTTCTCCCAGCTGAGTTTTTTTTTTTTCTTTTTCGTTCAGTCCGGGGAGGAACCCAGCAGAGGGGAAGCGGAACAGCGCACTAGAAAAATTGTCTCCTGCGCGCATCCGTAGCGCCCACCAAAATATTCACATTCCAGGAAGTGAATTTGCTAAACTTTCAGAATAAAAGCACGAGGAATTTTTTTTTTCATTTTATATATATATATATATATATATATATATATATATATATATATATATATATATATATATATATATATATATATATATATATATAACAAACCAATAGTGTACAAAGTCTCGCTGAGGTGCAGACATTTAAACGTCGGTAGAAAAAAAAAATAGACAGAAACATGGGGCTAAAAAACAACGACAGATGCATAAACAATAAGGCCAATGAATAAAAATAGAGCAAGATTTAAAACAAAAGAAAAGTAGAAATACTGGCAGTTACTTTTTTGGCAGAAACAGATTTCGAGTTTTTCAATGAGGAGTAATACAATTTAAATTGATTAAGAAAACATTCAAAACAAGGAGTAGAACCTCTCTATTTACAGCAATGTATATGATATTTGACAAGCAAAAAAACAATATTAACCATATCTGAAATCTTACTATCAAGGTCATCAACATAATACAACACGTGGGTGATTGGTATTTCTTGGATGTCCTCAATTTAAGGGACAACCAATTTTTGATGTCTCTGCATAGTTTAAAAGAAAAGGGACAGGGAAAAAAAGAGCATGTTAAATCAAATTTAAATATTTTATGCAAAGGTTTAACCTTTGGTGAAACGGGCCATTTAACAAATTTTGAGAATGCCTACTCAATTAAGGGCAAAAGCACGGGGAAAGTGGCTTAGTGCTTCTATATTTGTGCAGATTCTTACAACATATCTATCATTCAGCTAAGGATTAATATCAAATTATTAAAATTAAAAACACGTTGCTGCTTTTAATTGTTTGTTTTACTTTTGATGCTGATTTAGATGGCTTTATGTATAACGTGTTGTTGTATTTTTGTGGGTCATTTTGTCTCAGCTATATGGAGGACCAACTCTGCCATATTTTAAAAAAAAAACAGTAATAAATAAATGCTTAATAAATAAATAAGCATACAATTAATTCCAACGAACTCATACCATTAATTCCAGGACCAACTCTCTCTAAGACACACCCCTTCTTATTTACTTAATGAGGCAGAAATGCATACAGAAATGGCATCGAAGAAATATATAGGGTAAAAAATACAAAGGAAGAATAAAAACAGACAAAAATATTATATCATGCACATAAATAAATACTTTAAAAAATAAGTAATAAATAAATAAAGTTGAAGATTATAAGGGACAGTAAATAAATAAGGTAATTATTACAAAGGCGAATAAATAAAGAAGCTAATTAAAAGAGATTCATACATTTATGTCTCTCTGTATAATTTAATTTCTACCTAAATTTATTAGCTAATTATATTTTTAAATATGGCAGAGTTGGTCTTCAGCCAGTGAACTGATTTGTGTATATATATTAAGATTTCACTTATTGTTTAGCATGTTGTTTCTCTGAACATGGTGTTGTTTAAATACTATTAAAACATGCTACCATACACTGATGACATCATTCTGAAGTATACATGCAGTCACTGCCTGATCCTTGAAAAAGCCTTTAGTCTAATGGTAAAACAACATGTCTTCCTTTTCCTCCATGTTAAAAGCCAAGATGACAGTTGGATAGGAAGAAATGATGGACAACAACGGTCAACCACCTTAATAATTGGTTGAAATAAAGGGGACATTTTTTAGAAAGTCTGCAAGGACCGGTATAAAATCACCCAAATCACATTCTGCATACCACAAAAGTTTGCAAATATCTGCAAATTAATCAGAACCCATAAGACAATTCTTCAAGCACCAAGGTGATTCTACAAACAGCAGAGCAGAAAAAGTGTTCATATTTAAGCAGAGACATGTTCTGTAATCTAATAAGAGATTTATCTGGGTAAAATTAGAGACTGATAAATAGATTCATAGTCTAACCCCAGAAGATGTAAAATTCTTAAAAAAGTTGAAGTAGAATACATTAAAAAAAAAAACTTTTATCACCACGCAATTGTAAATGTGACATTAGGAGCTATGTGAAGACAGAAGAGAGGATGATGGGCATGATGGCCCTATTGTATCTGGACTCAACTGGTGCTGCATAAGTCCATAATAGGCCCAGATGATGATTGCCACAGATACCTTTTGGAAATGCGGGAATATTATACATGATACGGGAACATTGCATCATTTACCAGAGCTGTAAAGGAGTCCCTCCACAATGCACTTGTTTCACTATTTTTTCTTTAAAATGCTAAATATTTAATAGCTTGCGGTTTTATTCTGATGATACTTTAATATTTTTCCATAACAATGTTTATTTTACAGTTACGTTTTTAATATGTATCTGAATATCTGTATATATGTATCTGTTATATTTGCATCTACTCACAAAATGACTTAACAAATGTCACTCTGATTCTATAATACCACTAAAAACTGTTGATTGATGAGTGTTTTTTTTATTCTATTATCTGCATTCAGTGGAGGGAAATTATTAAGTATTAAATATGGTCAGAGATTTGAAACTAAGGTTTAATTTTCTTTTTTTTTTTTTTTTTTTGTGGGAGAATTTATCTATAGCGTCCCAATCCACACCCCATTCCAGGAGATGGCAGTAATGCACATCAGTAAGTTGCTTGCCAACCACCATAAAAAAGAAGAGGAAGACAAAGACTTTTTTTTTTTTTTTTAACAACACACAATGCAAACATTTAAACAATTGACATAAAAGTGTCAGTTAAAAATCACTATTAAGGTAAAAACAAGTGTCAGTTAAAATCATTAAATGAGGAGCTTGTTAAAATGTATTTGTCCTTCATCTGATACAGTACATAAAATGTTGTTAAAACCCCACAACTGAATAAAATCCTCGATGTTCTGTATGGCTCTGTGGAAGTGGAACTACAGCCTTATTCTGGCTTTAACGTTGCACTTCCACAGAGCCACGGCATCAAGGTGAGGTTGCTTCTGCAGTCCGTCTCTATGGGACAGGTAAATGACCATCTTTCCTCACTGTTTAAAACATTTAAAAGTCTGGCCTTTGGCTTATTCCTTCTGTTTTGGAAAACTCCTATAAAAAATATTTTTTGGCTTGGAGAAGAAACGTGGGCAGAGGAAGGTGATTCACTCTCTACTATCTGACCGGGGCAGCAGCTAAGTGAACGAAGCCAGATCAGGAGGAGGGCTGTGGAGTTTTACTCCTCTCTGTTTGAGAGTGAGGTCAAGGACAACGAGGATATGCTAGGGGAGTTCTGCAGTGGGCTGCCTCATGTGTCGGGTGAGACCAACCTACAGCTGGCGCACCCGCTAGAACTAAAAGAGCTCCACACAGCCGTCTTGAGCATGCAGGGCCAGAAGACCCCTGGAATCGACAGGCTCACCGTCAAATTCTACAAAGCTTATTGGGACTTTTCCTAGCTCAAGACCTGCTGGATGTAAACAACAAGAGTCTGGCCACTGGTTCACTCTTGCTGTCGTGCCGCAGGGCAGATGTCACCCTTCTCCCGAAGAAGGTAAACCTGCAGTACATCAAGAACTGGCACCCTGTGTCTCTCCTCTGCACCGACTACACGATTCTCTCCAAAGCCTTAGCAACTTGGCTAATGGAGGCTATGGAGCAGGTCATCCACCGGGACCACACCTACTGCATCCCCGGCAGGTCAATGGTAGATAATATCTACCTAATTTGAGATGTTTTGGAGGTCTCCGGTTCATTGGGTTTTGGAACAGGCTTGCTCGCATTAGATCAAGAAAAGGCGTTGACTGCGTCGATCACAGCTTCCTCTGGAGAATGATGGAGAGGTTCGGGTTCAGTCTGATTGGCAAGATCAAGGGGATGTACAGCGCCATAGAGAGCGTTCTGAAGATTAACGTTGACCTGTGTGCTCCTTTCTGGGTGTGTAGAGGTGTTCGGCAAGGCTGCGCTCTGTCCTGAATGCCACAGACATCCTCTGTAATTATAGATACACCAGGTATCTTCCAAATTTAAACAGAACAAATACGAGTATCATAAAACCAAAAATCCACACATCTACAATATCCTCCATTGACAGCGTTGTGAAACACACCATCCTCCAGGTCCTCCAGGAGGCAGGACAGGACAGGTCCCCTTTTCCCTGTCTTTCAGTTGAGTAAATTTGATCAATTGCATTGATCCATTTTTTGACTTCGGGCGATATGAAGAGAGCTCAAGACACAGCAAAGCAGGGACAGGCAAGGAGGTGCAGGAGCAGCAGGAAAATGCGACCACCTTCTTCAAGAGTCAGAACAGAATCATTAGTATGTGTGTATATGCACATGATTGAATTTGATTTTCTTCCTAAAAGATTAATCATAGAAAATCCTAATTTCTCTCTATTTAGTATTAACCTCCTGTGACTAGTTATTACATTCTAATAATAAATGTTCCACTGTGTCCATCTCATTACAGTGATTACAAGTCACTGTTTCATGTTTCCCTATTCTGAAAAGAGAACTATTAAGTCCAGTGTGACCAATTCTAAGTCGAGATATGACTTCCTCTTCTTTCCACCCTCCATTCATACAACAAACCCCACACAGTCTTTTAAATTTTATATAGATCTCTACCAGTGTAAAGGAATCCTTAAGTTAAAAATATCTGATTTTAAGGCCTGTTTAGCTAATATATCTACTTCTTAATTTCCTTCAATCCCTACATGAGCAGGAATCCAGACAAATCGAACAAAACATTTCTATTTATGAAGCTGAACTAATAGGTGATATATATCTAATAATAAATCTAATCTACAAGACTTGCCAGATTTGATACTTAATAATGCAGCTTGACTATCTGATGCAATTATATAACTATTTTCTTCCCTAACATTATCATCAAGCAGCCATTCTTAAGCTAACATAATGCTAATTAATTCAACTGTAAAAACTGCTAGATGATTTAATTAAGACTTTATGGTGTGGGGTTTTCACAGCTGGTCCTGTTCTGCCATCTTTAAATCTTCCAAAATTATTTTTAACTATAACCCAATCTGGAGTCTTTCCCTTTTTAATAAATTCCTATGTTCCTACTTCTTCTTCTTGTAGAGTTTCATGGCGTTTGGCAAACAATGTAAAAGGTGCATTACCGCCACCAACTGGTAAGGAATGTGGATCTTCTTGTTGTATTTTATGGAGGCTGGCAAACCAATTGTGGTGCATTACTGCCACCAACTGATATGAAGTTACACAGGAAACAGGAAGCCAGACTCATTGCCAGAAAAAAAAATAAAAAATACTAAAAATTTAATGACTTTGAATTAACCCAACATCATAAATGACTAATAGTAATACTGTGGGGATTTCCCAGGCCTCTGAGCTTTTGGACACTTCTATGACACGGTCGATGTTGAGACCAGAGGGAAGTGTTTATATAGTCCTTTAGGGGCATACATAGGACTCCAACAGGTGTGGGGCCATTTTCCTCCTTGCCTCTATGAGGATGATCTCAAAGGCTGCGATGAACAGGATGGGGGAGATGAAGCATCCCATGGCAATACCAACCTCTTGCTGTTGCCAGCCTGTTGTGAAGTCCTGGTTGGTGCAGCACATCTGGATGTTTGCAAAGTACCTGGCCACCAGGGTGCGAATGCAGACAGGGATGTAAAAGAGGTCCAGAGCATAGTCGATGAACTAGTGTGGGAAAGTTCTTTATGCAATGGCAAGGTCCAACCACACGGCATGCAGGTCTCTTCACTCTCTGGATCTGCTCCCATATGACTACTGAGTGTTCCTTAGAGGCACCCCAGCCTTCTGGCAGCTGGTGTCAATAAACCTGTTGTTCATGAGGTAGCTGGTCAGCCTGTTGGACAGGATGGAGAAGATTTTCCTTCAACATTCAGGACCGCAATGCTCCTAAACTGGCTGATGGTAGAGTGGTCTGCTTCCTTTGTATTGAAGACTGTGACAGGCTTCTAAGGCTATTTCTCACCACCTCCCACTAAGACAGCAGGCCCTCCCTCTCCTCTGCATTAGACTTTCTACCCTGCTTCTGTACTGACATCACCTTTTCACCAGTAGCTAATCTCCCTCTCTTCTCCCCTTTTGCTTTAGCCCAATGCTCTGCTTCCCGCCACTGCCCCTGCACTCATCATAGAGTATTACACCAATGTTGTTTAGCTTGGTTTCCACCTGACCATGCAAAGAGTGATGTAGCAGGATACTGCGGTCCTTATCCAGCTGCTGCTAGTCTGCTATTTCATTTGCTTCTTGCCATTTGACTGGCTGCCTCTGCCCCGGTTCTCTCAACTCTGCCCTCTGCAGTGGATCTTGGATGTTGGAGTTTGGTGGTATCCTAGGGTCTGCTGGTGTTTTAAGGGTGCTCTCATTGTTGCCACCTTCAGAAGAAACAGGGTCCACCATGAGCTTTCTTGAACTCACTGCCAGTCCTCCATCCACAACGATGGAGTCCTCAGCACTGTGGTTAGCAATCTGGATCTGGGTTCCTTTTGTCTGACCTCCTGCTCAATTTAGTTCAATTCAGTTAATTTATATCGATCCAATTCAAAACACATGCCATCTCAAGACACTTAACAAAGACAATTCAACCAGATCATACAGTCAAATTCATTCAAAGATTTATATCTAAGGAAAACAAGTTGATTGCACCGACTCACTCGAAGGCAATCCCTCATACCAAGCATGCTTGTAGAAACAGTAGAGAGGAAAAAACGTACAATAACTGATAATAAAATAAAAACTGTTTTACTCAATCTTTTAATTGGAGCGTTTAATTCTTATTCATTTATTCTTTCCATCTAAAAAAGCAACAACACTAATATGTTACCTGAAAGTTAGTAAGGAATCAAAATAAATACAAAATAAAATCATATTATGAACCTGTATTTAAAGAACTGGAGCTCCTCTGAGTAAAGGGCTGTTTATGTTGTAGTGCTTAGTTAATGTTGTAGTGCTTTCTTTAATGTTGTAGCGTTACGGTTGTACTGCTTTCCTTAATGTTATAGTGCTTTCGTTGATGTTTTAGTGATTTATTTAACGCTGTAGTGCTTTCGTTAATGTTAAAATGATTTATTTAATGTTTTAGTGCTTTCTTTTTAATGTTTTAGTGCTTTCTTTAATGTTGTAGCGCTTTCGTTAATGTTGTAGCGCATTTGTAATTTTGCTTCTTTGATGTTGTAGTAGTTTGCACCTCAGGGCCACCGTACTAACAGCAGCCGGGACACTCGAACGCATCATCACCTACGTAGTGCGGAAGTAAATGGTCTTTCATCTGACTGTAGTGTGGAAGTAAACAATCCTCGGCTGACGTGGTGCAAAATCCGTGTCGGATCACCGCCTGAAATTATTATTATTGTTTGAGCGGCTGCTCGTTTATTCACAGCTGTGGTTGGTGTATGTTTAATGAACGTAAATAACATTTAGTGGTGCTGGTGGTAAGCTCAACTGCAAAGTAGATGGCGTCAGATGAGGAGACAAGTAGGCCGTTCGCTGGATTATCAAACGTTTCTATATCGGAAGAGATACCTGTGGAAGGGGACATCACTGTCCCCACCGGCCCTTCCACCAGAGACGATGAGTTTTCTACTCTAGACGAGCCGGTGAAGGAAACTGTTCTACGTGATCTCCGCGCAGTGGGGAAAAAGTTCATTCATGTGATGTATCCTAAGCGGAGTTCAGCTCTTTTGCGAGACTGGGACCTGTGGGGTCCTCTGCTGCTCTGCGTAACGCTGGCTCTGCTGCTCCAAGGCGGCGCAGCAGACAGCGACGACCAGGGGGGACCGCAGTTCGCAGAGGTAAACAGGCA